GGCGAAGGCTTCATTGAGGTCCTGACCAAGAAGCAGCGCCGTCTGCTGGAAGAAGAGAGGAGGAAGAAGGAGCAGGCCGTGCAGGTAGGGGGTGTGGGGTGGAGGACAGGCCGGCACAGAGAAACCCAGAGCGAGGAGAGAGAGTTCTGAATCAGGCCCAAGCTAGAAGAGGGGAAGGCGGGCACAGCAGCGTGCTTGTGCTCCCAACATCACCAACCCTGTTGTCGTGTGGGAGTAGGTGATGTTAGCCCAGTGCTTGCAGAAGGTGACTCATCCCAGGTGACGACAGGATGCAGGCCTCCCTCAGGCCCCCCTCCTCCCACCACTCCAGCCTGTGTAGGATGAGATATGTCACCCGGGGCGTCTCGAGGGCCGGGGACCCTGTATTCAAACTGCAGTCAGGCCTGGACCCTGCAGCCTGCATGCACCGGCCTGTCGCCCTTCCCGGGGATGGTGTGGTTGGCCTTGCCATTCACCTGTGGCTGAGGCCTTGAGATGCCAGCGTTCCTGCACCCCTGGGGCAGTTTCCCGTGGTGTGGTTCTGGCGGGGAGAACTCGTGCTTCAGGCCTCACGTCTGGGCCAGACAGCGTCACCTCTTTTCTCCTTAGGTGCCTGTCAAGGGTCGAGGTCTTTCCTCCCGTATTCCTCCTCGGTTTGCTAAAAAGCAGAACAACTTGTGCCTGGAGCAGGGTGATGTGACCGTGCCTGGCAGCAGCCTGGGCACGGAGATCTGGGAGAGCAGCGGCCAGGGTAAGAGTTGGGTGCTTGGGCTCAGCTGCTTGGTCCACGGCTGTCCCCAGGGCAGGGGGTCTCTTCTCTGGGAGCGTCCTGTTTTGGGGCTGTGCATGCCTGTGGGGTTTGCCTGTCTCCTGCCTCCTCTCCGGAGCCACGGTGTCAGATACCGTCTCGGCACCACCGGCAGCCCCTGAACAGCTGGAAACTCCCCTGCCTGCAGTTTGGGGCAAGAGCGCACCATTCCTTGCGTCCACTGATCTGGACAAGGGAGGCCCCGTCCCTGCCCGGCTCCGGTCACGGGGGGAGTTGGCTCGACTCCTTTGCCCCTGTCAGGCACCCAAGAAACTCAGCTTGTGGAGGAGCACCAGGTGACCTCCAGGGAGGAGGAGCAGGTCCGAAGCCTTCCTGTCTGTGCCGCGTGCTGGCCCTGACGCCGGGCGCTCCTGGCCACTCCTCCTCATGCTCTCCTGAGCCAGACAGGATTGAGACCAAAGTGAGGAGACCTCACTTTTTGGAAAATTTATTTTCCTGAACTTAAAAAAGAAAAAAAAAATTCAAACCCAATGCTCTTTTTTTTGGGTAACTCTTCGTTTTAAAATACAAAAGCAATTTTTTTTCTTTTTAGCGTTTGTTTTTGAGGGAGGGCACGAGTCAGAGAGGGGCAGAGAGGGGGACAGAGGACCAGAAGCAGGCTCTGCGTTGACAGCGTGAGCCGGACGTGGGGCTTGAACTCACGAGCTGTGAGATCATGACCTGCGCCGAAGTCGGACGCCCAACTGACCGAGCCAGAGATACAAAACCATGTTAATCGAGCAGATTCTTCATTAATGCCTGCTTGAGGCAGAGCCCTGGAGAGTACACAGGTGAAGAAAAGCATGATGCTTCACAGGGGAGCCTAGAGAAATTACCCATTTCCGGTGTGTTAAACAAAGTAGCCGAGGACCGTGGAGTGCAGTGACGTGATCCCAGAGCCACATGACAGACACTCAAAGTTCTGGGTCCTAGGTGTTGATTCTTTGAATCTTCCCTCCTGGCCTATCACGTTCCGGGCTAAAACCTAGGTTCCAACACGTTACAAATAACACTGGACGACGTTCAACTCTGATTCGAAGTATGATCTTCTCTTCATAAAATACGGCTGTGAGTTGATTTGGTAGCACACGTGAGCAGGGTATCACACTCCGAGTGTCCACAGATAACCTCCCAGGTTGTCGCTCGGAGCAGGCTGGACGCCAGCCCCTGCCCTCGGGCCTTTACTGCCAGGACCCACCTCACTGGCCGCTCAGCCCCGGGGGCGCGTGCACAGCTTCAGAGGGTCCCTGGCTCTGAAAATAGCACGTCGGGTTTGCATACGTACGCAGGGTCTGCGGCTTTGGTGGGAGTCCTGGAGTGGTCCTCGAGCTAACAGAGGTTGAGTAGTACCAGCCTAGATCCTTGAGAGACTCTGTGAAGCTGCCAGGCTTGTAGAAATGAACAGTCGGCTTAAGATTAAGACCACGTCAGTACACGGAGTAGCGGTACAGCTTTCTCACGGATGTGAACGAGAAGTTGCTGGCGTGCCTTCCAGAGCAAGTAGCGGATGAAGTAAAGGGAAGCACGCTTCTTGGAGTGTGAGAGGATGTTGGGAAGTCGGGTGAAGCTACCAGAGCAGCTCCAGTGCCCTGCATGGGGCAGGAGAGCTGGGAGGGGCTGCGCCAGCCAGGCGGTTCCCCTGCGCGGCCCTGACTCTCTGTCTTGCACCCTCGGGCAGCCCTGCCCGTCCAGGCCCCGGCCAGCGACTCCTGGACTAAAGCCGCAACTGCCTTCAACAGCGCCGAGCCTGGCTCCGCCGAGGTGAGTGACCACTGAGCCACTCGCGGGCAGCGCGCGAGCCCACCGCCCCCGTGGCCGGTTCGTCCTGGGCCTCGTGCACCCTTGCCCAGCCCAGCTCTTCCTCGCCGCGCCGATGAGCCTGGCCCAGAGTCTGATTCCACTGGCCCTGGCTTGGCGCTGGTCTTTGTTCCTGACTTCTGGGGAGGGTGGGCGACCAGGCCCGTGGTGGCAGTCGCCCTGTCTGACCTGGCCACAAGGGAATGAGCTTGGCGGCCCCGTCCCTGGCGCCCATTGCATACCGTGGTTTTTTTGATCGCGTCTTCAGTTGCTGGGTACTGTTGGCGGGTCAGGGCCCAAGTCAGGACGGGGCTAAAAAGGACAGGCTTACGGGGGTGTGTCTCAGCCACGCACTTGGTCCCACTTCCTGGGCAGTCCCGTGTTGGAGTCTGGGGGTCAGGGTTCTCACCCGTTTTGTGCTTGCACAGCAGGGTTTTAAGAGCAGCCAGGGGGATAGCGGCGTTGACCTGAGCGCCGAGTCTCGGGAGTCGTCTGCAACATCCTCCCAGCGCAGCTCCCCGTATGGCACTCTGAAGCCGGAGGACATGAACGGGCCTGGCCTGGAGCCCAAGGCTGACGGCCACAAGGAGCAGGCCCAGAAGCAGCCCGAGCCAAAGGTCAGCTGGAAGTCCCTCCGTGGAGGCCTGGGCCGGGGACTGCCGTCCCTTGTCTTCTCCCCTCTTCCTGGTGCTCAGAAGCTTGGGACTGGGGTCCTTCCAGCCCGTGTTTCTCAGTATCTCTGATTTTCTATCAAGGACTCAGATCAAGGCTCAGGACAGAGCAAGGAGCACAGACCGGGACCCATTGGCAATGAGCGCTCTCTGAAAAACAGGAAGGGCTCAGAGGGGGCTGAGCGGCTGCAGGGAGCCGTCGTCCCGCCCGTTAACGGGGTGGAGATTCACGTGGACTCTGTGCTGCCGGTGCCGCCCATTGAATTTGGAGTCAATCCAAAAGTGAGGCTTGGATGTGTTTCTTTCCCACCCCCCAACCCCCCTCACAAGTCCCCCGTGGTTTTGAACTTGGAGAGGGAGGGGAGGTGCTGAGATGGGGCTGTCACCTAGAAAGAGCCGGGGGACAGAAGCTGAGCAGCTCTCTGGTGGAGTGTGTCAGCCTGCAGGATGAGGCAGGTGCCACTGAGCTGCCTTCTAGATTATGCTGACACCAGCCAGGTTCTCAGGCTGGGCAGACTAGTGATCTTCACTGTCTCTTTCGGGATTGGCCAGTGGGCATAGGCAGGGAGCACGGAGGGAGGGTCATGGGGTGGCATCCTTTTTTGGGTGCTATCTGGTGGACGCTGCCCACTAGATTTCTTGAGTCTTGGAGACTGGATCAAATTAATGTGTGCCTCTTCTGAAAAGCGGGCAGATGATTTCAGTGAGCTCTTCCTTCTCTTCAGGACTCGGATTTCAGCTTGCCACCTGGCTCTGCCTCTGGTCCTGCAGGGAATCCGGTCGTCAAACTTCAGGACGCCTTGGCCAGTAACGTGAGTGTGTGTTTCCCTCTGTTTCTTGTGCTGGCAGGCCCTGGAGAGAAAGGAGCAAGGCTTCTGGGGGGCTCTGAAGCCAGAGGAGGGGGCCAACACCAGCTTTGGGGTCAGGCAGGCCTGGGTGCGTGGCACAACGCGTTCTCTAGCTGGTTACGTGTCCTCGGGCATGTTGCGTAAATGTCCTGTGCCCCGGTTTTGTGATCTTACCACGGGAAAACAGAACTTCTCAGGTCCAGGTTATTTGACGTTCTGTGGTTATGTATGTTTGGTAGTGCTGGGATAAACCAACGTGTTTACTCAGAATCCCTCTGATACGCTGAGGGGCACTGGGCACACATGGGAGGGTCTGTTGGCCACATGCGTGAAGAAACGTTACCAGGGACCTCGTTCAGTTTCCGGTGGGGGGCGGAGACGGGACCTGGGGGTCTCCACGCCAGGCGTCGGCGCCTCTGTGCTGGCAGCCAGTCGTTGTGCCTGGCGCGGCCGCCCCTGCCCGAGTGCTCCGTGGGCTGTGGGTGTGCAGGTGGCTCTCCACAGATTTCTGTTGAGAGAATCGGGGAAGACCACCGACCGGAGCAGATCAGCTTGGGTGTCTGCTCCCGGCAGGTTCACCGTAGGGGTCTTGAGCGCCCGCGGGCAAAACCAAAGGTGCGTTTTGCTCTGTTGTCATGTTGGCCCTGTGCCTGTCGTGTTCCATGGTCTCCTTTCCCCTTCCAGGCTGGGTTAACACAAAGTATTCCCATCCTCCGGCGTGATCATCACATCCAGAGGGCCATCGGCCTCTCCCAAATGTCCTTCCCCACCGCCGACCTCACCCTGAAGGTAACGCCAGGCCGGCGCTAGGTGAAGGCTGCGGGGCGCCTTAGCTTGCCGAGGGCTGGAGCACGCAGCCCCGCCCTCCCGCCCGCCCATCCTGGGGCCTCGATCTGTGCCGTCCCCCACCTTCTTGGAAGTAATTCTTCCCTCCCCTTGCTTTCCAGATGGAGTCCGCACGCAAGGCTTGGGAAAATTCACCCAGTTTGCCAGAGCAGAGCTCCCCGGGAGGCGCGGGCTCGGGAATCCAGCCCCCGTCCTCTGTGGGCGCCTCCAACGGCGTCAGCTACAGCTCGTTCGGCGGAGTTTCCATGCCGCCCATGCCCGTGGCCTCCGTAGCACCCTCTGCTTCTCTTCCAGGTATCTCCTCCCTCACCTGAACCAGCTCAGGGAGGCTCCCTTCGCTGTCAAGAGAAAAGTGGTGCTGGCCCTGAGCGCCTCCCCCTACCCTGACTTGAGTGTGCAAAAGTAGGAGCTTGTTGATGGGCCGGGTGGTCCTGGCCTCCCAGGTGCTACAGACCCCTGGCCCTCCCCTCTACCCTGCGTCCCTTCTGTGGTGTGGGAAGCAGACCAGGGGCAAGCAGAGACAGGGCTTGGAGTCAGAGCCGGGTCACATGCAGGGGCTGTGTCCTCTCCGCCTTCAAGTGGCTCAGCCCTCCGGGCCATGGCCCCTTCCTTCCTCTGTGAGATACACCTGGCTCTCTCTGGGCTGTTAGCTCGTGACACAGAGTCAACCTGCAAAGTGCTTCGTGTCAGCCAAGCCCTCACAGGTGGCCCATCAGTGGTAGACCGCTGTGTTGGTGCCCCCAAGGGAGAGGGCAGGAGTTTTGAGGGCCCAGCTGCCAGGGTCTCGATGGCATTTCCAGTGGACCATCCTGCTCTCCACCGTGGACTCCGTGCAGGGCGACAGAGGAGTAGGGGGCTGAGACCAGGGCTGCCTGAGCTGCAGTGGAGCCCCTCCCCAGGGTGTGATTCAGTGGGCCCGGGGTCTGGTGAGCGAGGTCAGTTGTCCACCCCCCTGGGCCCGTGTTCCCCTGGGGGCGAGCAAGTGTGGGGCTGTGGGGCGCGGGGCCAGCAGCAGGGGACCGAGCAGGCTCTGCACACACTCCATCCCTCCCACTGATTCCCCAGGAAAGTGTGCGTGCGTGGACGTTCAGGAAGGGTGAAGCTTGACTCTGTCCTGTCTGCTCTCGGGTTCTGTTTGCAGGCAGCCACTTGCCACCTCTGTACCTGGACGGCCACGTGTTTGCAGGTCAGCCTCGGCTGGTTCCTCAGACGATACCTCAGCAGCAGAGTTACCAGCAGGTGATGACAGCCGGACGGGTGGCCCCGTGGGGGATGGGGATGCAGCACACGGTGGAATTAATTTCCCTTCTCGACTTGTTTACTGTCTTGTTTCTGTGTCCCCTCACGTGGACCGCCCAGCACCCAGCCCATCCTAGCAGGCAGGAAATGTTTGGTGAATGAACACAGGAGAGGCAGGGAAGAGGAATGGAGCTTGGCACTCTAGACTCCTAGATCCCCTCTGTCAGTTCCTCCTGTGTCCTAGCTGGGGAATTAGCTGAAATGGAATTCTCTTTGGTATCCTTTGGTATCAGGTATCCTTCTGATGAAGAGAAGAAAGGCCTAGACTCCCAGGCATGGATGCGTTAGAAAGAGGTAGTTTTAGAAATGTGCAGGTGTTTGTTTTCGTGCAGGATGGGCGTATTTTCTGTGCTGCAAGGGGTAGAGTTCTGGAAGTCTCCCTCCTGAACCTGGTGTGGGGCCTTTGATGGTCTGGCACCCCATGGACCTGTGTGCCTGGATGGTGGGGCCCTTGGGCAGAAGTAGATTTGGGGACAGAGAACAGAGGACTTGGCCTGTCCTGATCTCTTTATGAAACATGTTCTTAAACATTACATTGTTGAGATTTATGATGTATCGATGTTCACCTCACCGGATCATACTGAATGTAGTTTTCGTGTATGTTTCCCGTTGACCGGTGCATGCTGAAATGCACCTCTGTGGACAGCTGTAGCCAGAATTTGTTCTTGCTGTTGTATAGAACCCAGCGTAGGAAATCATGGTTTGGGGTTGTTACCCAGTTTTTGCCTTTTCCCCAAGAGCAAGGAAAGCACCGGAAGGCCATGCTCCAGTTTGCATTTGGGGCAGTGTTCGAGCTGCTGCGTGGAGCAGGGGGTGTGGCGGGGGGCAGACACCCACCCTGGAGGGCACTGCGGTTACCTGCCTGGCTTCCCACCGCAGGCTGCCGCTGCCCAGCAGATCCCGATTTCCCTTCACACGTCTCTGCAGGCTCAGGCCCAGCTTGGACTGAGGGGCGGGCTCCCCGTCTCCCAGTCTCAGGAGATCTTCAGCTCCTTACAGCCCTTCAGGTGAGGTGCAGCCAGAAGCTCAGGCCCCCGCGGCCTGTGGACGTGCCCCTCTGGACTGTTGCCGCTCCGCAATTCTCCACTCGGCGGTGGGTTGGGGGCGTGGTGGTCTCGGCACTGCAGAGTCGTCATTGACCGGCTGCAGGAGCTGCCGTGGCTTGATAGCACTCGATGGATGGCCTTGTTTTTCCTTTCCCTGTCACCCTACCCCTCCTGAGCCCCTCCTCTTCCCATCTCCCACCACCCTCGGTGGGCTCTTCCCACGCATCTGAGGTCCTGCACTTTTGGCGTCCCCTGGGTTTTCCTGTGCCTTGTACAGCCTGGATGATTTCGCTCATGTAATCGAGTGACGCTCAGACTGCGGTCTCTAGACCTGCAGCATCAGCACCATCTAGGAGCTTGTCATAAATGCAAGTCCTCAGGCTCTGTCCCAGGCACTTCTGAGTCAGAAACTCTGAGGGCGAGGCCAGCTGTGTGGGTTTTAGCAAGCCCTCTGGGGGATGGTGGGGTGTGCCCTCATTTGAGACCCCCTGGTGTAGTCCTGCACCCGACCCACTGTCTGTCTGGCTTTTGCAGATCTCAGGTGTACATGCACCCCAGCCTGTCACCGCCCAGCACCATGATCCTCTCTGGAGGCACGGCCCTGAAGCCTCCCTACTCGGCCTTCCCAGGCATGCAGCCCTTGGAGATGGTGAAGCCCCAGTCCGGCTCCCCCTACCAGCCCATGAGCGGAAACCAAGCCCTGGTCTACGAGGGCCAGCTCGGCCAGGCTGCTGGCCTGGGTGCCTCGCAGCTGTTGGACTCCCAGCTTCCACAGGTCAGGAATTCAGCCCCTCTCGCCCAAAACACTGGGGTTTTTTCTTCCACCACGGCTTTCTCCCTCGTATCTGCCTCTCGCTGCGTGCTGACTTACATGCTGTTTGCGACCATTGGGACTGGTCCTCGGGCTGCTAGAACTGGGGCCAGGTCTCCCACCTCATGTGCCTATCCCAAGAGTGCTGCTTCTCCCGCGGCTTCTCTCCCGCCCTCAATCTGGGGGGCTTGAAGATGAGGTGTGCGCGTCCTCCTGGCATTCCCACCGATGCTTCTAGACCGCTGTCCCTCCCTTCTCCCTGAAACCCCAGCTCTGGAGCCCATAGTGTTGACTACCGCACTGGCCTCCGTGTTGCTGTGAGTCCATATTTTGAATCTAGCATTTGGCTTCATGTCATCCTCTCCCGTGACCGCCCGCACTATCAGACACCTTCGGGGGTCACCCCTCTCCTCCTTTGGCCCCTGGCCCAGTCTCTGCGACACAGCTCCTGTGACAGCTGCTGGTGGTTTCGATGTCTGCGTAGATGATACGTCGTCTCTGTACGCACAGGCCCCCTTGCCTCCAGCGGTCCGCTGTGCCCATGATCCTGTCTGCATCGGTCACTGCTAGAAACTGTACCTCTTTCTTTATCTCAAGATTAAGGGTCCTACCCAGTCACCGCCTCTGCTTTCTTAGCTCTTTCCCTCTAGCCACCCGGCTCCAGCCACCTTTTTATCACCTTCCCCCTATGGGCTCACTTCCTTCTCTGCTCACTTCCTCTCTTCTCTGGGCCCCCCTGCAGTGTTTCCACCTTGGTGGAGTCCAGTCCCGCCATTGCACAACTGTGTGTGCCGGGAGAACACCAGCCCCGCTCAGACCACCTGCGGCTGCACGCCGGCAGCCGCACTCAGGCCCGGTCCCTCCCCGCCGCCCCGGCACCCGCTCCTGACTTGGAGCTTCCTCCTCACCACCTTCCACCCGTCTGCGTCTTGCTTACGGTGTCCCTAGAGTAACGAGATCTCGTGTCGGGTCTCCTGTCACAAGGGTGGGCTAGTCGTGCCCGGGAGAGGCCCCCTCACCCCCCGTCCCTTCCAGCCAGCCTCCTGCTCGCTCCTACAGCACATGTGCCGTCAGCACACAGACGAGCTGCTCGCAGGGCCACCTTCTGGGAAGGAGGGTCCTCCGGATTATACCCAGACAACCCTATTGTTCCTCCTTTGAAAAAAAAACAACAACAACAAAATTGTGTAAGCACACGCATCAGACCCGATGGTTATTCTTTGCTCTCGTCCTGCTGCCCTGTCGGCCACACTTGACCCAGAGATGCTCGTTCCCCCAGAGTCCAGTTCTTCGCTCCGTTCATGGGCACCATCCTGGCGAAACCCTCCTCGTTACCCGCCTTGTCTGTGGTTTCTCCGTGTCCCGCGGGCTCTGCTCTCCGACCCCTGTCTAGCCCTGTGGCTCTACGTCCCATCCAAACCTGTCTTCCTGCTGCCCCCCAGCTGTGTTCTGCAGCCCGTGGGCTACGCGTCGCCTCTGCTCTGGCGTCTTGCGGCCTCTCCTGCGTGACACATGCTGGCACCAGGTCCAAGACCTGAGTTCTCCTGGTCCTCCTGGCTGTCGTGTCCGTGTCCCCTGTAGGTCCCCACTTCCCCTTGCGCCTCCTCTGATCCTTCCGCAGGGGTCCCGTTGGCCCTACCTGTGGAAAGCATTCCGAATCCAGCCATGCCTCATCCCCGCCCTCCACCTTCCTCCCCATCCAGGCTCCTGTGGGGGCTCCTCCCTGATCTCCCGCCTCTGCTCTTGGGCCTGACAGTCTGTTCTCAACACACCAGCCACGGTGCCCCCGGAACACAAGTCTCCCGAAATACAGTGCTGTCCTCCTCCTCGTCCCGCTCCCTGCTGTGTGCAGGGAGGAGTCTGGGGTCTGGAGGCTCTGGCTGCTGCTCGTCTCAGTGATGCGATTCCAATAGATCCTTCTGACCCTCCACTGTGGACTCAACGCAGGGGGTGAAGAGGAAAGTGACTGAGAGACGACAAGTGGCTTCCTTGCGCCAGTCCCGAGTCTCCAGGCCCCTCTCCTCCCTGTCACCCCCCCCCC